AGCCACATAGTCCCCGAGCCTACTTGAAGATGAAGAATAAATCTTATAGCAGGGTTAAAGAAATCAGGAGCTTGATATTCTAGTGTTGATGCGTGAAATAGCCAACGTCATCTGCCATGTATCTACCAAGGCCCCAACGTGCCACCCAAGATCAGCACCCTGATCCGAACGGCATGGAGCAGCTTGATAGCACACATGGCATGTAACGCTGTCGAAATGTAGTAAAATTCGACCGCCAAGGGAGTTTGCGGCTTAGCTGATGACTCTTGTAAGAAGAATCCAAACGCCGAGAAGTCCCCAGCTTAGCTGGCGGGCCCACAGCGTAGTTGACGATGAGCGATGAACAATCCGACCAGCTGGTTGGCGAAGAATCGAGCACCGAGCAACCCAACCACCTAGTCGGCGGCGAAGTGAGCGCTGAGTAGAAGTGAGCGCCGAATAGTCCGACCAACTGGTTGGCGACGAAGGTCATGAATCTAGCGGTCCGACCAGTTGATTGGCGGATAAGTCCGAAGGCCAGGTGGTGCGACCACCCGGATGATAATCCTGTAATACAAATATGTAGAACGGATAGTACATGATGCAAAAAATAAAATATATAAACTCGGTGATTGAAGAAAACAGAGCGAAGTTGATCAGGAGCAATGTATTGGTGGATTTTATATCCTGCCGAGCAGTTGGAGATAAACATTATGTTCATTTGGAGTTTGTTCATATTTTAAATATGAGTAACTTCCTTCCAGTTGGTTCTATATTGTATCACCAGCCCTAACTAGCCCCAAACTCCATAGCGTGGAGTGACTGGCGCCCGTGTACGCGTAAGAGAAAGAGCGTCGCCAAGGAGCTGCTACTGACTGTCCATAATGCAGAGCGTGGCTCATGCACATGTAGGAGTGAAGTCAAGGACAGGGCCGCTTCTGGATAACACAGGTGAGAACGTGGCTGGTCGGCGAGTTGATGGAGAGTATCTTAAAGATATCTCATTATGGAGAACGAATGGAGCATCTTAAACGTGGAAAATAATTGGAGAAGCAAGAATTAGGGAAGCATGGCAAAAACTCAGAGAAAATAATTGCAGAAACATGGCGAAAGCTTATTAAATATGAAAGGGTACTTATCTTTAGTCAGAACATCTGTTTGGCGGCGTATGACGATATCGGGTCGGCGTCGACAAAATTGCCTAGCCCTCGAGCTTTCTGGCCTGCCGTCCTAGCGGCGGTCGCGGTCGTCATAGCGCCATTCTTCGCGGCGATCAATATTGCGACACGGCAGGCAGTTGGAGCGAGTAGTCCAGACGACGTCATCCTTATGACGCTAGTCGGCGACTCGGGCAGCTCGCTTAGCGGCTCGCTAGGCGGCTTGATGTAGTCGGAACTTATGGGAGAGTCGGAGTTCTCGATCGAGATGGAGTTGGAGTCGAGCTCAGCGGACAGAGTTAGAATCGGCACAGGTGAGTCGATCCCGGCACGGTGCTTGATGATGCCGCTGATGAAGTGGTTCACGATCGAGACGAGGCGGTAGCTCATGGACCAGGCGCTTTGTAGATTGAAACATGTGATCCAGGGCAGATGGTCAGATCAGTTCGCCGAGCAGGTCATAACCTTCGTCCGTGAGGCATCTCTACTTGTATGCCTTACGGAGATACATGAGCACATGCGAGCCTGATGGACATCTCGACTATCTTTAGCTTGCATGGCACTGTAGATCACATAGCTTTTGATTTCTTGCTTGCCTGACAGCTTGCACCCGAACGTTGATGTATGCGGTGGACTGGTAGCCAGCAACAACCAACATGCAAATCCGATCTAGTCCTGCAGGGTCACCATGAACTGATGCCGTGGTTCGCGAAGTAGCGGTCGATGCCAAATCTGCGGGAGTAGATTCGGAATGCCGTTTTCGATGACGCTGTTGAAGTTGGGAAGCGGATCCGATCTCGTTGAAATCTCGGCTTGCTTCCCATGTATACGACGCCGGAGACGTCGCCGCAGATAGCCAACTTAACGACGAGTTCACACAGCGACGTCAAGCCGCCGCAAGAGCCTCAAGACGACGACTCCATCGTAGGTGAAGGATGCCGCCGCCAAAAGCTAAATTGCCACGGATGGCATTGATCTTGAGGTCCATTTGGTTCACCATAGGATTAGCGCGCACCCTCTTACCTGGCGCGCCAACCATCGACAAAAGATGCTCGGCAGTCCACCGAACGGATGCCCACGATGGTAAATTGATTGGTAGAGGTGCGCGTGATCAGGAACTAGATGGTAACAGAGACACAAGACATAAGATTTATACAGGTTTAAACCGTCAATGTGACGTAAAACCCTACGTCCTGTGCTCAGTTGGTTTGCATTGCTGGAATACGAGATGAGATGTGGGATGCCATGTCGCCTACGAGACCTCTGCCCCTCCTTATATACTCTGGAGGGGTAGGGTTATAAAGAAAGTATCCTAATCGGTAGGATTACAATATCTATAAGAGTCCTAATAGATCATATCTTCTAGATGCCTTGCGGTGTACGCCGGCCAGCGCCGTGCGTCGCAAGTCCTTATGTCGTGGGCTGGACCGTCTCTGCTGGTGCAACCCATGTCCCTCGCCGTGGGTACATGGGGTTATACTCCACAATTATCCAGAAGGTTGAGGTACAATATAAATAGTTTAGTTAAGTAGAATTTTAGATGAAGTAACAACTCCAATGAGCATCTAAGTAAGAGTATTACTAGAGGCGAAGGTTGGGTACAGTTCACGAGGCGCACTTGCACTCACGGCAAAATAGAGAATCAATGAGTAAAATTTCATCATGAATGCACCCCACAAAACACACGCACCCTCTTTCGTTTTGCTCTAACTTCACCACTTACTGAGTATTTAGTAGTAGCAGCTTCGATGTGGCAACAAATGAATATTATTTTTTATTGCTAGGAAATGAGTATTAATTTGGTAGTATCAATTCTCGTGGAGACAATAATAAATGAAATCAGTAATCAAAGTGTAGTTAAAAAAACTCTCGTTAAAGAATAGCCAACGATACAGAAGTCGTTTTGTTAAGCACATTACGAAACACGCAACTGTGCAACTGTATAAACAGACTTGCGATGAAAAAGTTTATAAAACTAAGAACGACTGTGCAAAAATATGCAAGGAAAAGGAAGAACATCTAACGTGGCCCGCTTGACCTGAAGAAAGCGCAGCCGGGCCAGACCCAGGTCAGGATGCGTCGTGGGCTCTCCTTTCAGTGCGCGATGGTTAGCCGAAAGTGTCTTTAGGCCTGTGCGCTGTTCATGAGCGTGGGCTTGGACGGCCGCGTGGCCGGGGAAAGGTCCGCAGCATGAGCCCAATGGATCTTTCTTGGCGTGGCCTTCTGCACAGAGTTTTATTTTCTTTTTTCAGTCTACGCACTTACTATATCGTTACCTTTCTCATGGAACCCGATGATGCAAAGGCGCAAAGTTTGTCTTCTTTTAACTAGCAAATATGCCCGTGCATTGTAATGGGAGAAAAAATATCAAATGTTTAACATGTTCGCTTCATTTGTAGCACAACAGCTTAATTTGTTAGGTTCTAAACAAGGACGACAGTGTTACATATCTGTTCATGTTTTCGTCTTCCTATAAAATTTAAAAGCTATACTTTATTTTATGATGGCCATAATATCCATAATATATGTTAATATTAACAATAATAATATAATGTCCGAAAGCTGTATTGAATTAAAATATGAGATAGATTTTTTCTTCCATTGTAAAGAATAAAATATTTACATGCAAATGTATCATAACTTTAGTTTTCATACTATATATCTATACGTTGGTAGAGTTAGATGTCAAGCTCGGTGACTTTTTGTAAGGATTCATAAAAATATGTAATTTTAATATCTTATTAAATTCCGCGTCTTGTGTCTGCACGGAACCCAACATAACAACAGAAAACAACACTTTTCTTATGGCAATGCAACCAAAATTGGCTGATGTGTCTGCTGCAAGGATATCCTGCATACTGCTGTTTCTATGGGAAGATGAACATCTCTACTGAATGGTGCCGTTCGTCTGGCTGGTTTTCAGACCAGCAGGCTGGTTTCTTCTCATAGCGGCACTATTCATTAATCAGCCGCTACAGTATTTCTCTCTCACACAACCAGCCATTACAGTGTTTTGGCTTCTTTTTTTCAGACAAGCGAACGGGTCTAATGTGTGGCGACTGAGGATCTTACCACATCACTGTATCCTTGCTGTCACGAGCCACGACATGACTCCCAATTACAACATGCTGTCAACATTACTTTCTGTACACGAGGCGAAAGTACGTGTGTGTGTGTATCCACAACCGGTGGCGCGCCGGCGTGCGGCGGTGGGGACGGGACTGGGACTGCTGCGTGCTGACGCCGACGACCCGTGCCCGCGCTCGCGCTCGTCTCGTTTGGACCATACCCGAACACGTCGGATAAAGGCGTTTCCTTCCCAACCAGTTCGCAGGGAATATTACTGGCATCACCACGCACAGCCGTGCGTACAACATGGTCCCGGTGTCGACGCCACTCGTCACAGAAAACGACGATAGCTCAACCAGCCAGCTAGTGCTACAGTGGCGTCTTCCTTCCTTGGCAGTCCCGTCTCCATCGACCTGCAGTGCTATTGTTATGTTACGGGTAGAAGAAATCTGATTTCTGTGGAGCCTTGTCACATTTGGATGCAGAAAGCTCAACAGAGTTACAGAGCAGAGCCATATCATATCAATTTAGGATCATACATACATACTCCACACATAGCAGAAACAGGGAAAATTTTATTCCGGTCATGGCCAAAGGAGTACAATCAAGGTACAGAAGACATGCAAAAATGAACAAGGTGCATGGCATAAATTAATGGAGCGGTGAATAGATAGAAAAATAGAATGAACCCCCCCCAAAAGGGGCCCAACAGTACTTTTGCTGCTACTGTAGTATATATTCTACCGTCCAAACTCTCCAAACAGTATGACTTATCCCACTACGAAGCCTCATCGCTCAGAGCCCCTCCTTGCCGTCGGCGGCACGGAGGGAGCCCAGCTGCACGGGCGCCTGGGTGGACACCACCTTGGACGACCCATAGGCCGCGATGTCGACCCCCTGGGTCTTCTCCTTCTCGATCTGCTCCTTGATCCAGAAGTAGGTGAACCTCAGCCCATCCTGCAAACATTCCAATTTACAGGACAATCAGGAATTGTTTAGTGCAAGTTCTAACCAGCCCTGGCATACATTCCTTATGCGTCATTCCACGGGCTTAAATGGTATTATTTACATTTGTTTGTCCCAACACCCTCAACATGGAGATGGAGGGTACTTCACCAGAATAATTTCAATATATACCAAGATATGTACTGCAATATCTAGCAAGATGGTGACAATACCTTGAGCTTCATTGTTGGGGCCCAGCCAAGCTTCTCCTTGATAAGGGTGTTGTCAGAGTTGCGCCCACGGACCCCCTCTGGACCAGGGATGTGGTGGATTGGCAGCTTCCTATCCTCAAAGCTCAGCACGATCTCAGCCATCTCGTTCATGCTCACCATCTCATCGCTTCCGATGTTCACTGGCTCGCGGAAGTCTGACTTGGTCAATCTGGACACAACGTGGTACCATACTATGTTAATTCCCCATTGCTACACAGGTAACTGTTTGGTTTGGTGTTTGGATGACATCCAAAGCACACATACATACCTCAGAACACCCTCGACGCACTCGTCGATGAAAGTGAAGGAGCGGGTCTGGAGACCATCGCCCCACATCTCAAACCTCTCCGTGGATGTCTGAACCTTTCTGCAGAAGGCAGCCGGTGCCTTCTCACGACCACCTGTTAGAATAGAAAGATAACATTTTGATCAAGTTGAATTATCAGTTTATCACCTCACAATCACAAGACAGGTTACTGAATGTATGGCTTCAGTCACTAAAGAACTGGTAGGTTTACCTTTCCATGTCCCAAAAGGGCCGTAAATGTTGTGGAAACGGCCAACGCGACACTCAATACCAAAGTCCTTGGTGTAGTGCTTGCACAGCTCCTCTGTTGCAAGCTTCTCCAAGCCATAGGCGTCTTGAGGCTGAAAGGTAACAGATCCATGTCCAAGGGAATTTAAATGAGTACATGAATATGTCTAACACACAGAAATGTCATTGTATTTCAATAAACACACACCTCAGCAGGCCAGGCATCAGATTCCTTCAGGCTCACATTTGTGTCAAGCTGCTTGAACTCAGGGTAAATGCATGCACTTGAGGCATAGAAGAACCTGCCAGACCAAAATGATATAAAATATAAGTGAACATGAATAGATCATGCAGAGTTGAGACACCGCACTAAGGAAGACAGATTATTACAGAAAACAGCGACAGTTTTAATATCAGAATGACCAGCTTGTTTTCCTTAAGGCTCAGTTAGGTTAATGTCAGTATCAACTTGACTACATACAGATCTGGATTGAATAGTATTGGAAAATCCAGCTGCCCAAACAGTATCCTGACTCCTGAGCTTCACAAAGACTAACATGCATAATAAAGGTTCTTTATATGTAGCAGCCAGGTTCTTTGAAAACTCTAATCAAACAACATCAACTAGATTACATGTGGAAGTTAAGATTTAATTATAGAGGAGACCACAGCATTCACCAGCCAGTAAGAAAATGAAGTGGCATACCTCTTCACACCATTGATACGTGCAGCCTCCAGCATGTTGAAACTGATCATGGTGTTGTTGTACATGATCACGGAGTGATTCGACTGGATGAACCCCATGCCACCCATATCAGCAGCAAGATTAAAGACATGGTCGACACCTTGGGTGACCTTCAGACAGTTGTCCATGACCCTGAGATCAACAAGGTGGAACTCATGGCAGAACATGTCTTCAGTCATGTGCTCATTCTTCTTCCAGTCAGAGGCAATGATGTAGTGGCCCTCGCTCTTCAGACGGCGAGCAATGTGGGATCCAATGAAACCACCAGCCCCAGTAATCGAAATCCTCAGCTTCTCACTTGGCCAATAGGGCTCCCTCTCCAGCTCAGCATAGGTGTACTCGCCATAAGCGGTGACGGTCTTCTCGCCGCTCCCCATTCTGTCATTTAACGACATTTGAAGTAACACAATCAGTATATAAAATAGTTGATTGCATAAAGAACGAATCGATTTATCTATTTAATATGGGTGGACATAAACGTATAATTGAGATGGCAAGGAACTGCATGGATGTCATGGCCAAAAGAAGTTAAATGATTAAAGAGAATACTTTTTATTAAAAAAAATGATTAAAGAGAATAGTTGGTGGGAAGAGAAACAGTAATATGGTACAAACTGCTGTATCGTACACATCAATTGCTAAAGCTCAGCTCATGAATCACACATCAATTGCTAGAGTCCAGCTCATGAATCATCAACATATAGTCAATGTGTAGCATATATTTAATAAAAACAAAACAAGATATCAGCCAATCATGGGTTAAGGGAATCTTTACAGCAAGTCGTGTATGCTGGTGGCAAATAAATATGGGCATGGCATCACGGAATCTGAACGCGCATACTGTAGTATTTATATAAGCTTCTTAGTAACTCAGAGTACCGTTGTAGATCTGGTTGACTTAAACAGAGCACAAAGCTCATTAATAATCCCAAGCATTATACAAGGCTATGAGTATGTGCAAATCAAATCTAAACAATCAAATTCTAAGCCTCTTACTTTCACCATTGACAGTAGCAGAGTAGCAATTCCAACCATTTCATCATGATAAAAAGGAGAGAAAGAAACAGAGAACAGAGTTCATTATCATAATAACTAGACATGACAGGAGGTTATGACTTATGAGCGTAGATGAGCGGAATTCTAAGCCTTGTACCTCTAACTAATGTCGGCTCTATGAGAGTCGCACTTGCCAGTTTCCACAATTGAATGATCCACAGGTAAAAGTACAGAAACCAAGCTGTAGAAAACCCCTGAATTTCAACTTTTACAAGAAGAACAACCGTGCCTGAATCATGTATCTGTGCAGACAGCTACCCAGCCGCACCAAAACTACAGTGGGACATGAGAATCGGATCTTGGCAACCCATGGCGGCGGAAAAGTCAACCGCCATCCCCAAATCGAAGCAAAGAGGCTGCAGTGCACCACGGATTTCACAGCAAAACAGGCAAGCACAATAATCCTAGGATTCCCAAGGCGATAGGAGAAGATGAAGATGAACCAAGGCATCCCAGGTTGTTGCCAAGTGTTCCTCCACGGGAGTCGGGACGGCTGCGTGGAAATGGACGGATTAACGAAGCTACTACGGAAAAATCCTAAAAGATCCCCGCCTTTTCCGACACAGCCGAGGCTAAAACCTGCATGCGTGGACTCAGTTCAGCCGAAAGACACATCCGCATCGTGCATGCAAGGGGAGCGGCGCCATTGCACGCCGCCCTGTACGGGGTACCCGGAGGCCGGAGCTGTTGCCGCGCAGAGCCCAGAACCCAGAACCAAAGCCAGCCAGCCAGCCACCGGCACGAGCTGGCGTGACGGAGCAAGGAAAGCACATAACAGAAGGAGATCTCGGCAGGGGAATCGGCGGGCTTACCTCTGCTCTGTCGGGCGAGGGAGGGAGGAAGACGAGACGACCAAGACGCGGGGGAGAGGATAGGAGACGGGACGATCTCCAGTGGTGCACGGGTGCTTCTCCGAAGGCTGTTTGTTTATTTATAGAGAGAACGGTCACAGGGCCACGGGATTGGGGGTAACTGAACTCTTTGTTGGCAAGGAAAAGCGCGACGATATTGTGATGCCAAAGGTTTGACAGATTGTTTTTTTTTTTTGTCCCTTCTGCAAAAAAGAATCTTTTTAGTTCGTTCCTGCCAAGTGCCAACATTTCCCCTTTTTTCACGGTCACTGTGATACTATCAGTTACCAGGCACGTTTATTACGTGTAGTATATACCACAAAGTATATCTATACTGTTGTTAGTATAATGTTCAGATTAAGGACATTCATGCAGTAGTTGTGCCAATGAAAAAAATACCAAGCTCCCGAACCGGCACGGACCTGCAGTGCATAATATAGAAAGTTTAGGGATTCAAAAATGCATTTTAAGAATGGATAGACCCAAACGACACCCCTTCAAAAGTTAATAGATCTATGATGCATTTTACTCTTCTTTTAACTTCCTTTCTTCTATTACACCATCGTCATCACTTTCCACTCGAGAAATTCTCGTTTTTTCTATGTTTACCACTAGCAATAACCAATAAGCTCAAAGTGTTTTCTGTTTGTATCCCCAACTATAGTATTTTAGTTTTAGAATGTTGAGACTTTTTTTCAACATATGAGACAATATATGTTTTAAGGGTAAATTTACTGTAGAACATCCTTCAATGTTGATATTTGCTAACATTACTTATTATTATCTTTGTTAGAGGATATCATTTAATTATGGCAATTAGCTCTTAGACAGTCTAGCTATTAAAATAATAGTTTCTAGAAGTAGAGGGGAAAGAGAAGTTAAAAGTAACCTTTATGTCCTAGCTATTCTACCAAACCTTTAATAGTTGTCTAAAAAATCATAACTTTTGCATATGAAGGTGAATGAAGACTAATTTTACATAAAAATTGTAGAGCACAATAAGATCTACAACTTTATAATTGACAAGTCTTTTATTTAAAGTTATTTAGAGTACATTCCTTTTAACTTATTTGAGTTTGAAATTTAAAATTTAAAATTTTGGAAGACAAAGTGTCGGGTTCATAAACCCGGGGTCCCCAATGGACCCGCTTCCCTACAAAACTCAGCCTAGCAAAGCGGCAGCAACAGCACGCGCCTGGGTCGGCCCATATACACAATGACAGGCCAAGACCACGATCCGGTCCCTGACCGGCACCTCCGGCCAGGAGATCTAGTCGGAGCTCCGACCTAAAGGCCTGGCCGTGGTGGGACCGCAGTCCGACTCCGACCCCCTTTCTTCGACCGAGGATACGCTGGACCTCTGCTCGCTGCTCTTTCCCGACCGACACGGTCGGGGTCGACTGGGAACGACCGACCGGGGACACCCGCTCAGTGTGGGCCTGAGGAGCAGGCGGAGCAGATAAGGTAAGGCGCTCAAGTCAACCACAATACCGAGGACCATACCCTGCCATGCCCTGCGCACCTGCAGGACGGTGAACAGTATTGTGGGCGCCGTCGTTTGCCGTACCAGGCGAACACTGTACACCTTGCCAGACGTGTCAAAGCATAAACAGTATTGTGGCCCCGTCGTTTGCCGTACCAGGCGAACACTGTGCAGCCTGCCAGATACAACAGAGCATGAACAGTAAGGTGGGCGATGACGGCATAAACAGTTTGACGGGCGACGGCGGCCATCCCGTACCCGATGGCATGGGCAACAAGACTAGGTAGCGCCCGTATACACACACACACTCTCTCTCTGACTTGTAAGGCCACCCCCTTCAACTACAAAAGGGGATGCGCTCTCTCATAAAAGACGACGACTCGAGGACTCGAGGACTCAACGACTACATAGGCTACCGAACACGGTCTCAACAATCTCAACAACTCGCAAGCTCGGGCACATAGAGACGAACACAGAGCACACGCCCCGACACTTAGCGCACATTTGAGCATCCGTCACTCTCTTTCACTCGGTTTCGAGTCCGACCAGGCCTCTAACACCCCCCTTCTCATTCCTTACTCATTTGTAACCCCACAGAAAACTTCGAGCACCTGGGCTCAGGAATAAAGTCACCAACCAACCTCAACTAGATGTAGGTTTTGTTGCATGAACCAGTATAAATCATGTGTCATTGAGTGCTAGGCCACATCCGATCACAACGCACGACAAAACTATAAATATTTACTTGTCGGCCACATTTTGCACCGACAGTTGGCGCCGTCCGTGGGGACAGACGCCGTGCGTTCATGCTTTTGGTCATCGGATGGCCCACCTTTCCACCATCTTCGGCATGGCGGGCTCGAGTGATACGATTCGCTTCGGCTCGCTGGAGTTTCCCACGCTCCCACTTGCTGGGATGTGGGCTCCTCCCGTCTTCGTGCCACTCCAGACCTTCATCTTCGAGGAGTCTGGATTTCGTCGTCGACTAGCTCGGCGTACTCCACCTCCACAAGGATGCGCTCATCCCGACATCCACTGGAGGAGGAGCACCCTCCACCGGCCCTAGGCCACTCGATGACCTCAACATCGAGACACCCGCGCTTCGCCTTGAGCCCATGCTGGGCTCAAACCCTACGGTGAGTGATGTACATATTGTTATTTAGTCATTATTTAACACCTTCCGCCAACTCTCCAGAGGGACCCCATTGTCCCCACCACGACCGCCGTGCAACTCGTCCCCCTATGGCTTCGCGTCCCCCATGTACGTGTGCGCACGGGGGCTCCGAAGGATGATGACGCCGCCCCCTCTCACGTCTGAGTTCATGGGGATGACGGGCTACGCTCCTGCCTCCTTCCACGACCTCGTCGATGATGAGGTCGAAAGCGATGGATCCAGCATCGGCGACGTCATGGCACCTGGGCACCCTCTATCCTGGGAGTGCGCTATGGCGGATGCCCCGGGACAGCCACCAGAGGTAGTGGAGTCTCTATAGACTCACAACCCTCCGGACCCCCGTGCGTAGGCCCTGGCGTGTGCGCAGGAGCAGGGCAAGGAGTTACGACAAAGGCGACAGAGCCAGCCGCCGCCTGCGCCGGCGCGCCCGGCGCATCACGCTGCACCACATGCGCATAACCCAGCGAGCGGCGCTCAAGGTCATGACCGTCAGGTCCAGCGTAACATCCTGGATGGAGAGGATAATCCCCCATAGTTTGCTCGGGCTGGCCAGAACATTGCTGCTATGGAGATGCTTCTACGTGGCCTCCCCGAGCCTATCGACCCCCAGGAGCAGGCGATCCACCGGAACCTCCAGGTGCTGGTGGAGACTGCCGCCGTTTAGTTGGCAGAAAGCTCCGCGTCGTGACACCGGCACGTGGCCTCTTACCCAGTCGGGGGACTAGGGCCGCATGTAAGGTCGAGATGGCGGACTAGAGGGGGGGTGAATAGTCTTTTCTAAAATTAATTGCGTCGGCTAACCGATATAAATGCGGAATTAAAACAATCGGTCTAGCCAAGACTACACCCCTCTATATATGTTCACTAGCACCTTGCAAAGATACTAATAAAGCAACTAAGGTGCCGAGGGCCACTTCTATTTATAGCCCCAAGGGCTAAACTAGCTATTACCCCTTCACTGGGCAACGGTCGGGCCGACCGGACGCTCCGGTCGTGTTGACCGGACGCTGGACCTCAGCGTCCGGTCGCCCGCAGACGGCCACGTGTCCCGGTTCCAACGGTCACTTGACTTGACCGGACGCAAAGAAGTTTTTTCAACCGACCGGACGCTGAACCCCGCCGCCCGGTCGTTTCAAGAAGGTACCGACCTCAACCGGACGCGTCCGGTCACACATTGATCGGACACCAGCCAGCGTCCGATCACACTCCACCGGCTTTCAGACGTCGCGTCTGACGACGACGTCGACCGGACGCGTATTTACCTACCGTCGTTCGTCATTGACCGACGCCAAAGATCTTCGCGACTAACTCGTTTTCACTTCTAACTTCATCACCCTTGCTCCAATGTGCTAACCACAAGAACTTGCATCCGGCGCAATAGAAAATAGGCATTCTATTTTCCCGAAAGCGCCGAATCCACCAAGTGTACACCACCATGTGTATGTGTGTTAGCATTTTCACAATCATTTCCTAAAGGATGTTAGCCACTCAACTTGCCACGCCACTCGATCCTAGCGACAATGCAAAGTTAGATCACTCGAGTGGCACTAGATGACCGATATGCAAACAAGTTTGCCCCTCTTGATAGTACAGCCATCTATCCTAAATCCGGTCATAAACTTCTCTACACACCTATGACCGGTGAAATGAAATGCCCTAGGTTATACCTTTGCCTTGCGTATTCCATTCCATCTCCTTCAATGTCGATGCAACACATGCACCAACACGATCAACAATGATATGATCCACTTCATATCATCACATGATCATATTGGTTCATCGATCTTGACTTCACTTGCTCTTCACCGTTGCCATCGTCCATCGGCGCCAAGTCTTGCTCAAGCTTCACCGCCATGCGGTCCATCACTCCAAAGCCTTTGACTTGCCCTTCACGCTTGCAACCGGTCCATCAAGCCAAGTCTTGTCTTGATCTTCTCCACCTTGATCACATGACTCAATGTCATGTCTCATGTGCAATAAGCTCCTTCATCATCACATGTGTGAGCTTTGCAACATCTTCAAGCCATTTTCACCTCCATGGCATATGTTGCTCATACACATGTACCTGTGGACTAATCACCTGTGTATCTCACATAAACACAATTAGTCCACCTAGATTGTCACTCAATTACCAAAACCAACAAGGACCTTTCAATCTCCCCCTTTTTGGTAATTGATGACAACTCTACAAAGATATGGAAATTATGCTCTTTTGGATTCATGTTGCTTGCCCAAGCAATTTTACCATGTGAAAATGATTTTGGA